GATACCGGTGACATTATGGTCAAGTAACTTATATAACAATATTTATCGAAGTTTTAACAATACTTTCTTTTAATATCATTCAGTTATTGTTTTATTAATGAATTACATAAAACTGTCAGAGAAAATGCTAATAAGATAAGTTTGTATTACTTTGACTAGAGAAAAAAGAAAGGACATGACATACCTACGCAAAAAACGTGTATATACCTAAACTGAATCTGGCACAAAGATGGCGGCTTGACGTAGTGCTGCGCACTATACTTAATATCGATAATGTGGCGCTTATTTAGAAAAAGATTCTTTCGTGTGATTCGTCTCAAACACCCGTGTGTTCTTAGATATTTTTTTTAAATTCAATATGACGAATTTTTGTCGCCAAATTGTAAGTCCTTAACTTTTTTTATCCTAGTTAAAGTTTATAGTTACCTAGTTAAATTAGTTAGATTGGTGTACCAAATCAGAACGCCTTACAATTTCAAAAGGACACTAAAGACAAGTTATTGTACGGATCCACTACAGTAATAGATATTTGGCGTCGTTGTAAAATTTTTATTAAGAAGACGATCAATGAGAGTGGTTAAAAAGTGCTGTCTTCGAAATATAATGACAATTATTTTATAAGATCGGTTTTAAAATCTCTGATTGGGTATTATTGATTCCCGGATATTCATTTTCATCAATTTGAAATAGAATCAACAAATCATTTAATTGAATTAGCAAGATGCATAATTTACAAATATGTAGACGCTTGTTTATATTTTTTTACAAAGAACAATCAGGACCCTTAAACTTTAATTCGAAATAAATATCACAAATTAATTCATTTTAAAAATCAATAATAATATAATAAATGCATGTTTTCGTTGTAACTGATTGATTTTGATTAAATGTTATTTTTATGATTTTAATTGAGTATTTTTCATAATGATAAAATCCATTTTATCGATATCGAATATTTTTCTTTATTAAGAAGAGCAACCCCAACGATAGCCATAATAACGTAACTTGACCATTTGCAGCCACGCGTTCTTCCTCGTCCCCCCGGCCCGCAGTAGTGAGTCGTGTGCTTAGAAGAAATCTGCCTATACGCTCTAGTGGTTATATTCTCTATGTCAAAGGTGTATTATCATATCTCACTGTCAAATGTTAATATTCATATGACAATCATTATACAGGTGTTCGGCGTAGGGACCAAACACCTGTATAATGATCGTACGCTACATTTCTTTATGTACTAATTGCCACGGTAGCTGAGATATGATAGTTGATAAGTTTTTTTTTAAATCACCCGAAATCTGCCACGAAATAACTTGTGCTGTATTACGAAATGTATAAATAAATCACTACTTGATACAATTCACGACAAAAAAAACATCTGAGCTTTCAGCCTTAAAGCTGTTAGTAGATATAATAAGTCTATGTGTGCAGATCGGAGCATCAAGGTCGTTGTAGACGGTGCAAGCTCCGATTACAGGCTTATTAATGCTGGTGTTCCACAAGGCTGCGTGATATCGCCAACGCTGTTTCTTCTGCATATCAATGATATGTTGCAAACCCGTAACAATCATTGCTATGCAGATGACAGCACTGGTGATGCTCTGTACACCGGCCGTGCCAATATTTCCCGGGAATACGTCTCCGAGTACCGGGACAAATTTGTGTCTGAAGTCGAGTCTTTGCTGAACAGAGTCCCGAATTGGGGGCGACTAAATCTAGTCCAGTTTAACCTTCAGAAGACACAAATATGCGCCTTAACCGCTAAAAAGAACCCCTTTGTCGTATCCCCTCAGTTTCAAGGCACTCCCCTTGTTGCCTCAGCCAGTATCGGAATCCTCGGCGTTGACATATCGAGTGACGTGCAGTTTCGTGGTCACTTGGAAGAGAAGGCCAAATTGGCCTCTAAAAAGCTTGGCGGGCTCAGCAGAACGGGAGAGTATTTCATGCCGGCACACCGCCTACAACTTTACAAGGCGCAGATTCGGCAGCACATGGAATAATGTTCCCATCTCAGGGCTGGAGCTCCCCAGAACGAGCTCCTTCCACTTCACCGCATCCAGCGCAGAGCGGCTCGAATCGTCCACGACCGAGTGCTTTCCGATCGGCTCGATTCACTGGCGCTGCGAAGAGATGTTGCATCTCTTTGCATTTTATTTCGCATATACCATGGGGAGTGCTCTGAGGAATTGTTCGGATTAATCCCAGCCGCCAAATTTCGTGAACGCACTACGCGGCAAACGTCCCGATACCATCCACACCATCTGGATGCTTGGCGGTCCACCACTGTACGTTTCACAAGGAGTTTTCTTTAGCGTACGACTCTCTTTGTGGAATAGTTTACCACCGGCGATTTTCGCGGACGGATACGACCTGGGGGGACCTTCAAGAAAAGAGCTTACTCCTTTCTAAAGTGCCGGCAACGCAACTGCGACTCTCCCCTGGTGTTGCGGTTGATCATGGGCGGCGGTAGTCACTTAACATCAGGTGAGCCGCATGCTCGTTTGCCCCCTCTTCTATAAAAATGTTATGGAAATTAATAACTTCTAAATTCATAATTATTTCTTATACGAGTACGTCATGCGATTTGACACTTGACAGAAAGCAAGAAGAACACAGAAAAATAAAAATAGGTACCATAGAAGTATAACAATGTGACACTAGTCTTTCATTTTCTCGAAAATGGTGCATTACGCTATGCAGTGCGAGTGGTATTGTTATAGTCGCGGACCAAACCTCCACCAAATAAAACATCTTACTCCCCCAAATTCTTGCCAAACGATTCTAAATTCTACGCCGAATATTAAAGAAGGTATTTTCATCGGTTCTGATATAAGAAAATTAATCAATGATGCCGCTTTTTTATCGAGCCTCAGTCCTATTGGAAAAAATTCATTGCCTCGGCAATCACAAGTCACCGGATTTCCATTAAAAAATTAAACTGATGCTTGATGCGTATCATAAACTAAGATGCAATATTTGTTGAAAATTCATTTCTTACACTCTCATTTAAGTTTCTTTCCTAATAACATGGGTTTAGTAACTGATGAACACGGTGAAACATTTCGTCATTCATTTCAAATTGCAGAGTATGAGAAGTGTTAGCAGGGTAGATAGGAGCCAGCCATGCTTGCAGTCTACTTTTGGAGCCTCCAGGGGGCACTGCCCCTATCGACAATAAGACGAAAAACAATCGTTCCAAAAAAAACTTTTTAAAGTTGAATATCAATTTATGTCACTACTTCATACAATTTTAAGTAATATCAATAAATGCGTTTCACTTGACGTGATACAATATTATTTAAATATTTCAAATAGGCTTAACTCAAATACAATAAATACATAATGTGAACCCAGTGATTTTTTAACTTTGTTGCATAGTTGACTCATAACATCATTGTGTCATCAAACGTTGCGCGGGCTATAACCAGTCAATGTTGTCGTTTTTTTTTTAAATTAATATAACCCAGTGTGTGACTAGTACCCCACCTGATTGTAAGTGGTGATTTGTTGAAGATGGTAAAGCGCATTGACTTAGTTTAGCAAAAGTTTTATTCAAATTTGCCTCGAAGACACCCAAATTGTAATATGACCAAAGGCAGAAGAAGCTAGCAAATTATTCTTTACGAAGAAAAGTACTGTAGCATCTCCTTCTTGATAAATGACTTAGTTAAAATGTAATAATAAAATATACTTAATTACAGGCATTTTTTTTTGTTTAATACCTACGTACAGATTTACCTTGCCAAGAATAAATAATAAGTGTAAATTGTTATCGTTCAACTTTACGTAATGTCACGGTAATTTTACAGATAATATTACCGTGGTAATGTGTACTATTTGTTTTTCTAATTTCGTGTTAAAGTGATTCATTTGTTCGTGCTGTTTTCATTCGCTGAATAAATAAATACTCACAGCTTGTATTTTGTACTATACGACCATCGGATCGTTACTTATAACATTATTACCGATGACACGTACATTACGTTTATTTAAACAGGTGCGAATACTGCACTATGTAAATTATCTCGGCCAGATCCAATTTATCCAAATGTGGTAAAATAAATAATTGAATTCTCCATTCTCATTTAGTGTGTTTTTTTATAGAATAAGTGTGACAAACGAGCACACAGTCCACCGATAGTAAGTGGATGCTGTGAACCATAGACATCTACATTTATCCGCGATTTAGAATCAAACCAGATGCGTGGTCACCCCTGAGGACTAAGATGCAATGTCTCGTTTCCAGTAAAAAAGGGAGTCCCCCACTAGATGGAGTGACGACTTGGTAAGACATGCAGGAAGTCGATGGATGCAGGTGGCTCAGGACCGTGCTTTGTGGCATTACTTGGGGGAGGCCTATGTTCAGCAGTGGACTTGTGAAGGGCTGTAATGATGTTGATGATGAAGAATATTGTTTCCATTGCCATATTGTGGACGATATTAATCATTAACTCTTGAAAACTGTAAATTCTCCAAAATTAAAAACTCTCCAACCACACTTTTAATCTCTTGGCTGTTAGACGGCCACTGAATATACAGATCCCAAATGCATGCACCGTAAGTTATGCGACTTCATTACAGCTTGTATTAAAGAAACGATCAAGCGGAACCAAGGCTCTAAATTCTTGAGAGTTGAGAGTGTAGAGATCTCCAGATCTCTACACTCACCATACGAAACACAGCAGTATTAAGCAGCTATTTGACGCTGTTATTCTGTAAGAGCGTAGTCCTTCCCCGGTCGAGCCGACCTATTCGTGCTAAAACCATAATATAGCTGGAGCGTGGCTCTACCACGTATGAAACCAAAGAGTCTAGTAGTTACGGTCTAGTGGTCCAAGTAACGTGGATTCTACGCCGCGAGTCCAGTGGTCGAATCCAAGCCAATATTTAGGTATAACACACACATCGTCAGTTTTTCAATGCATAGAATTATTGACGATAAAACGTACGTCCCTTACGTCAAGTGTAATACGGATGTACGGAGTACATAATATCTATAAGCGATGCTTACACCCCACCGAAAGTTCCCGAGGCCTTGTCCTCAGGCTAGGAAGCAAGGTGAGAACGTTGATTTGATAGATAACATCAGCATATTGCATAAGGTTAGAATAATAAAACAATTAAACTTATTATTTATCAACAAAATTACTATATTTTAATATAATCATTTTTGTCGGACAAGATGATACACATCACTGATGCCACCTTATCTATATTTTGCGTAGAGTATTAATTATAATGTTATTCTTTATTTTCAGACAGGAGCTTCTTAAATGGTACGGCTGGGGTTACAAAGACTCTATGTTCAAATTACACGAGGGCAAAACCATGTTTACGGGAAACAGGTGAGCGTTAAATATTGAATTTCAAATTAGCAATGTCATCATTAATATTAAACGCAATCAAACAATTTATATAATTACTCCGTAGTAACAAAGCTATTACACGCATGATCAGAATTTTATATTGATTTTCAATTATTACCCTTGAAATAGTTTACGGCTGGGAAACTTTTCCATGCTAAGTAAATGTGCAATTATTGCATGAAAATTATTCATGATAAGTGTTAAAATCAAAATATTATAATGCGAGACAACTCCACGCTTTCACGGCTAAATACTCGAATGCAACCGAATTTTTATATGTCCTTAAGTCTCGTTGTGTCACAGTCACTTTGGCTTAAAGTGATAGAGAGAGCATGAGACTTCACAGCATCTTAAGATTGAGTAGCGTTTGATTATTTCGGCATAAATTAGCTTTGAATTAATTAAAATCTATCTTCTCTCTTCATATCTATCAATCTACCATCATCGATTGTCGAACGGTATCATCAATATACTATAATAAAACGCTAATTATTTTTTGAAAACTTTATTGGGGTATACTAAACTGCCTATATAGATGCCAAAACAACAATTTTTGAAAACCTTAATGATTTCTTATATTTACGCGAACATTGCACATGATTAAAACTACTTTTACGGATTTTATCGCGTTTATTTTTTTTTTTTACTTTTTATTTTTTTAATTCCCGACGTTTCGGGCGCTTTCCAGCACCCATGGTCACGGGGTCATCTCAGTCCCCCGTGACCATGGGTGCTAGAACTGGCGAAGTCGGGAATTAAAAAATAAAAAGTAAAAAATAAACGCGATAAAATCCGTAAAAGTAGTTTTAATTTTGAAAACCTTGTTTGTCTGTCTGTCTGAATGCGCATCACACAAAAATCTCTGGACGGGTATTGATAGGACTTGCACTATAGTGTTACAAAAATTGAACAGTTAAAATAATAATAATAATAATGTCCTCCAGACCGAATTTCGGTCACGACGGCCTGCCTCAACGGAGGCTAGCCATCGGCGTAGGACAGGATTATAGTGCTCAAGTGTATGCGCAAGTACAGGTGCACTCTCTATTCCCTGACTCTCATAATCCGATGGGACGGTAAACCGACACGACCGGAGAGAGATCAGGCGCAGGACCAACGGCTTTATGTGCTTTCCGAGGCACGGGGGTGAGACACCGCCAAGTTCCTGACTCCGGGCAGCTGACAGAAAAACTCAATTGATTTTTTTTGGCCTGACCCGGGATTCGAACCCAGGACCTTATGATCAGCAGTCGCACTACAACAATCACTAGAGCAACGAGGCAGTCAACACAGTTATAATAAATGTATATTAACACGCTATCTATTATAGGAGCTGGTCAGTAGGCCTTATTGTCTGAATACGTAGTGTATTGACAAACCTTTGAAAACATTTAGATGTGACTTTTAAATGCAATATTATTTAGTAGATCCGTGTATGTAATTTTCTCACATTTATTCGACTAGATGCAAAAACTCCGAATGTGTTTTTTGTCGATGTATCTTCATAATCGGTGCCGATCTTTATATTACTCAGGCGGTATAACTCAGATACCAATGTCTAAAATCATTAACCGTAAAAATTTTGTATTGTGAATAGACGTCGAAGATTGAAGTTATAGAATTTTTTTTAAAGGGCGCCTGTGTAGTAAAGTAACAGCCTATAGTATAGTCCCATTTTTTGAACAAGGAAAAGTCCATCATGCAGAGTTAATGCGTGCTGACGGAAGCATTTTGTTTTATTTACTTTTATTTTTAAAACTTTTAGTTTGCTCACCACCTAGCACGTGGTAAATGAAATTTCATTGATTTTGGCGGTGATCAAACTTTTGTCAGAATTTTTTAAAACTTTTTCTCTTTCAATGTCGGAAAATTCCTTTTTCGCCTAGGAGTCCGTCTGGGTAAAGATGGTACCTATCGTATCTTTTCTTGTCGACAAATGGGTGTACTTGCACTGCTGTTTCGGTTTGAAGTTTAAATAGAGTATGTACAATTACAGGGTGTAATGCATTCCACCTTAGTCCTCAGAGGTGAACATCTTTAGACTACTGTGTTTGAAGTTGGATGCGTTTTACCATCAGGTGCACAATACGTTCGTTTGTCAGTTCCTTTTAATAAAACGATTTCTACGCATCGCCAGAGTCAATGAAGATGGAACGAAATAATAGTGCCATATCGATACTCGTAACCGAAATGAACTTCACCTTGGTTCCGATTTTAAGTATAATGTTAGAATAATCGCAGGTCGGCCTTTGAGTAAGGATTCAGCTCTTTTCTTAAGGGTTTCTAAGTTGTATCGACTTGAGAGAAGTTATCTTGATAGCTGATTCCACAAAATAGTTTTGCAAGGCTTGATACTTCTGGAAGTTCGCACAGTGGTGGCCAAGAATGAAATTAATATAATTGATAGAATCAGGCGTTACTTTGCGGAAATTCATTATAATAAATAATTTATTACTTTGCAACCTTCCGCTAAGTAATTACAATGATGTGTCTTATGATGATGTGTTACACCATCGACGACAATACGACACGTGTTTCGCCTCTACACGAGGCATCTTCAGGTAATGTAGACTCTACGGCGACTGACCGCTAATAGCGGGTCTACATTACCTGAAGATGCCTCGTGTAGAGGCGAAACACGTGTCGTATTGTCGTCGATGGTGTGTCTTACCTGGAATAGTGGTGTTGGAAGTAGTGGTACCGGGAGTAGTGGTGTTGGGAGTAGTGGTGCTGGGACTAGTGGTGACGGAGTTAGTGCATGCAATTGAGGAAGGGCGGGTGGTGCTCTTCAATCCAGGTAAGACACATCATTGTAATTAGTTAGCAGAAGGTTGCAAGGTAATAAATTATTTATTATTAATTAAATTAATTCTGAATTTCGACGCATCGATAGTGAAACTTCTCAGATTAATCAGAGCTCCTCGGAGAACATCCTATGGTAAAAAGGATAAAAATGCAAAACGATGACGAGATGCGGGCTTCCTTCGTAAAAATAATGGATCAAGCCGATCAGAAATAATTTGATCGTCAACGATTATAGCCACATGTATTTTTTAAGGATCGAATGAGACTAGATTTGATCACTGCTAGTATGCACACTATCCGCACTATAGAATGTTGACTAAAGTTCAAATCGTTGCATGCACAATTTTACACGGAACATAGCCCTATCTCGTCGAATAGAATAAGCAAATTGGGTCACATAAGCGGGCGGTGTCAACGAGAAACAAACCGGTGCATTCCGCACGGTGCCCAGGTCGTGGGCGAGCGACGCGCTCGCTAAATTGATGCTTCCGCCTGCTTTCCACATACGCGTTTTAAACCACATTATAATTTGTGACAACATTTAACTATTACTAATAATATTAGATGTGTGCTTTTTAATGACCACCTGTTTAAGTTATACTGTTCTGGTTCAAATGATGACCGTTTAGCTTCGTTTTTACTTGGTTAGTCAATAATGACTGCCGCGGTGGTCTAGTGGTCGTAAATGCGACTGCTAATCATGTGGTCCTGGGTTCAAATTACAAGTCGGGTCAAAAATTAGTTATAGAGATTTTTTTGTCAAGAAATTCTCATTAACAGTCCGGAGTCAGGAATTTGGTGGTATTTTATCGTCATAGACCACGTAAAGCCATTGGTCCTGCGCCAGATCTTACTCCATTCGTGTCGAATTACTATCCCATCGGACTATGAAATTGAGGGAACAGAGAGTACATTCGTGCTTGCATACACTTGAGCGCTAAAATCCAGAATAAAATACTAAGTAATAAAATATGTAAAAGAAGCGTTATATGCAAGTTCGTAAAACCTCCAACAGGAAATATATCATAAAACTTGAATAACTTAAGCTTATTCAGATGCATCTCATATCGTTGCCTGAGATATTTGACGTCCCAATGTCATAGTTAGTCCCGGCTACCTTCAGTTTTTGAATATTAATTTATGGTCCGATTTACGCAAAATGAGCTTATAGTATCATGAAGTCTTGCAGTGGTATGCTTGGGTTTGGGTTTAATTTTGTACATTATAGGATCCCAAGCAGCTGGCAGCACCCATCCATCTTCTCTATTGAAATTTGGATGTTTTTTAATTTCAATAGCCTCGCGTATCATCCTTGGTAGGAATCGGTGTTCTTTTGCGAGGATTTGTGGTTTATCAAATCTAATGTAATGGTGGGGATGATCTTGACATGTTTGCAGACTGCAGACTTCCCGGAGCGTCGGTGCTTCACGTCAGCTATATGTTCCTTCACGTGGGTTTTAATAGATCTTTTTGTTTGACCTATGTAAGAGAGACCACATTCAAAATTTAGCATGTACACACCTGCATCTTGTAGAGGAATATTGCATTTGATGGATGGTAAAAATTGACTAATCTTCTTCGGCGGCTTCTAGTATGTTTTAATGGACGCTCGCTTCAAGATGTAGCCAATTTTGTCTGTGACTCCTCTAACATACGGTAGTACAGCAGGCGCGCGCTCGACTGTGGCCGGCTTCACTCGTTCACTGTGACGTAGGCGCGGGACCCGAAGCTTGTTGTCTTGCAATACTTGCTTGACATGCTTAAACTCGGCAGCCAGATGTTTTCTGTCACAGATCCCTCGTGCTCTCTGAAACAAAGATTTACAGACGGTAGCTAACTGTGAAGGATGATGGTGAGATTCACTATTTAGATATGGGTTGGTATGGGTCTTTTTTCTATACACAGTGTGACCAATAGTGTTATCAGGATTTCGGATGACTAAAACATCTAGGAAGGCTAAAGAATTATTTGCCTCTTACTCCATTGTGAATTGTATTTTAGAGTTTATGGAGTTAAGGTGGTCTAAAAAATGCAGTTACTTTGTCAGATGGTAAAATTGTGAAAGTGTCGTCTACGTACCGCTTGTAGAACCTTGGATTTACAGGAGCAGTAAGAAGGGCTTTCTCCTCAAAGTCCTCCATGAATATGTCGGCGACTATGGGAGACACAGATGA